CAAAGTCATTCCAGCACCTCCAAGGCTCTAAGCTTTCTGCTTCTTCCGGATCCCAACCACCTCTCTGAACTCACTTCTTTTTTTAATCCTTACCCAAGGTTATTTTTTCCATTGCTTTTCAGAGAGAGTGGAAGGGAGGGAGAGAGAGAAACACTGATGTGTATCCTCGAATAGGGCTGCAACCAAGGTACCTGCCCTTGATCTGAATCAAACCTGAGACCCTTCAGTTCCAGGGCCGACTCTCTAACCACTGAGTTAACCTGCCCATGACTGAACTCACTTCTTGATATTCTCTACCTCGCTAGCTCAGCTTCAGCCATGCTAGTATCCTCAGTGTTTCTGGAACATGGCAGGTCACAAGTGTCTTGGGAGCTCACCACTCGCATCCCCCTGCCTGGAATGCTCCTTCCCCAGACATGCACAGGGCCAGTCCTCTCATTGCCTTTAGGTCTTTACTCAAAAGCCATGTTCTCAGTGAGGCTCTCCTGGCCTCCCTATCTAATCAATTTCACACTCCTGTCTGGAATTTCCATTCCCCATTCTTGCTTTCCTTTTTTGCCTTCTTAACACTTATCAACTTGAAAATGCTTTACATTTACTCACTTTATCTTGGCTACTGTCTGGTAAATGAAAATGAAAGTTCCATGAGGGTAGGATTATTTTGTTTCTTTTGATCATTACCACATCGTAAGTGCCTGTGCCTAGAAGACTGCCTGACAGAGCGTTACCTGTAGTGACTATTGATGCGATGAAAATAAAATAATCAAATTAAAAACAAACTCAAAATAAGCCCAAAGGGGAGCTAGGCAGTTTTCCCTGGGCCTCGCCTCAAAGCGATACACACAAATGACTCTGGGGGACAACTGGGCATTTTATTTATTAGAGTGAAGAAGACCAGCTGTGGGCTCAGCCAACTTGAGAGAGCATTCTGAGTCTATAATGGGCTGAGCCCTTCCTCAGACCCAGCTGCTTGTATCCTTGTAGGAATGTGGACCATAATCCTTAGTTTGCTGTTGTTTTTTTACAGGTGAGCCAGAAATAAGAAATCACCCAAAAGTCTAAGTAGCTATATAAACATAGCAAACTATGTTAGTAGAAAACAAAATCAGGAAGATCAAATGAGGCATGACAGCTGGCTGAAATTGGCTCATGGGTGTCCTGCAGGTGATTGTCACACTAAACTGAGTAATATATGAAAGAAAATAAATCCCTGCTATGGTGAGGTGGGCTTGCCTTGTGTCATTCTTGAAGCAAACAGCTTCAGGTCATGTTGGGTGCAGAAGGAGCAGGCATTACTAACTTCTTTCAACATTTGGAAGCTCCCGCCTCGCCCTCCCACTGCTATGCATGGAGTTAAGTTGAATCTGGACAGTAGGGAGTAACCAGAACTCTACCGTTAAGGCGGGGGTATATTTTGGTGAAGTGTGAGATGTGTAAACCACAGAGAGGGTTCTGAGGGGAACCTCCATGGTGGAACTGGGGAAAGGCAAGGAGGAGAGGAAGAGAAGGGCCCATGTGTCCGGACACCATATCTCTGAGGGACTTCAGTGCGGTTACTGCAACCTCTCACCAACAACCACTACACCTCTATGTGGCAATAGTGTCCAAGGAGTTAGTTAAACCAAGCCACAAACCCCAGCCTGACTTCCCCATGCCATCTATCTCACCTGGAAACACAACTGCACAGACTTCCATCACTGCTCCCCATGTGCTTGGGGTGGGCAAATCTGGCCAGGAGTTCCCTGTGAAGAGTCAGTAGCCACCTTGTTGGGATACAATAAGCCAACTTGTTCGGATACAGTCAACAGTGGGGCTTCTGGGGGCAGCAGACCTCAATTTGGTGGAGCACTGGCTGGAGCCACCTGTCGTTTCAGGCTGCTACTGAGAGAAGCATGGACTGTCATGCTCCACGCCCCGGAGAGAAACAGTAGGTGCAATCCTCTGATGCCTCTCCTCTGTAGGGAGGCAAGGTACAGCCCAGCCAGGGACAGGACAATGAAGGGACTGATGTACATGGCTTCTGCAAGGTTCATTTTTTGTGCATAAAATACTTTCCAAATGCAGTGGCCCAGCTTTTAAGTTCTGAGAGCCCCACTGACCCAATCCCCACAGAAATTGTTTATACGGTGTAGGGTAAAGGAACGAAGACCTTCAGGTCCCTGATTTACTACACCTGGGTCCTCTGGGAAATGTGAGGCCACCCACAGCCACATGCTTAAGTGCGCAGCGTCAGTGTGTTTAGGCTGAGGGTTGGGGGCTCTGCTTTGCAGTTGTGGCATGAATTCCCTGAAATAAAAGTTTTAGGTATAACCTTGGCTCCTGCTTAACCCTTGAGTCATCCCTGTCAAAATACCCTTCTAGGGAACCTCCAATCCATCTGGTTTCTTTGAAAGTTGCCACATCCTTTGTGCACAGAGCCAGGGACAGCGATGTGGATACTGTCGGAAGTCCAAGTTTTTCCTGGGCCTTGCCATCTCTCATGAGTCCCACTCCCCACACCTTTTTCTGTATTCTCACTGCCTTGGTCAGTCTTTCTTCTTAGAGTTCCTCCTTCCTCAGTATCCCTGGCCCTTGGCCCCTCATACATGCATAGGCTCTCCCTTAGAGTATCCTTTAGCCTCTCCCCAAATCCCTGCCAACTTTGTCTTTCTCCCTTGCTCTGGACCCCTTCTGAGCTTTTTTTGTGCCCCTCTCTACTCAACTTATTCTGTCTGTTTTCCTCTAAGCCCCAAGGTCTCCCTCTGTTATTCTTCACCACCTCCCAGTTGGGTGCCTCCCCCTCCTAAGACATCCCTCCTCCCAGGGAGCCCCTCCATTTCTGGCCCCTCCCCACTTCTTCCTAAGCAGTCACTTCTCCTTTCCCCTCCCCCCACAGCCCATCTCTGGTTTCTTCTCCTCCCTCCTCCCTAGACTAGGCCAGCTAAGTCTTATTCCATTTTTAGATGACTGATTAGATACTAGCTGAACTTTATTCACAGCCTGAATTTACAGCTGTCCCTTCCTTTCATGCCCCATCCACCAAACACACCCAATCTGTTCAACATGATAAAGTCCTTACACACAGCAAGTCATGTCCACACACATTTGTATTTTTCAGAACAAAACAACAGTTATGCTGGCAAAGATGCTGAATTAACGGGGACCCTTAAGCTTCCAAAACACTGAAAAGCAACATTATTTTGCATGTCCACAAAGTATACATCTGTTTTCACAAATGTGGCAAAGTGTACCCTAACAGTTAGGACTTTTTCACCAAATCATAGACATAGATATGGAAATCATCATCAAACTTGATGAAGTACACAGAGGGTTTGGCTTCCACTTGGTGAATGACCATGCCAATCCGTTTGGAGCCATCTTCTTTGGTATATTCCACATGTTTGCCTATCAGGCCATCTACAACTCCTCCTGTCTCCCTTTCTGCTGGAGGAGACTCGCTGGACTCTGGCATGATACGGAGGTCTCCTTCTTTATAGTCATCTAGAAGCTGGTACATGTACAAGACAGGATCTTTCTCATAGGTAATATAAAACCAGGCTTTCATGATTGGTGCTTGCGCTAGGACCATCCCTCTCCATTCATCCTTAGAACCATGCTCGCCCTCAAACATATGTTCCACGGCTTTACCAACTATGGTATTTGCAAGGTTTGCATCAGTGATTTGAGATGATGCCACCCTGTCAGAAAGAATTTTAAGAGACAAAACTCTTTCATCTCTGTGAAGTTCCAGTCCATAGACACAGTCAATTCCATCATATTTCACCAGATAAAGAGAGGGATTTATAGGCACCTGATCCAGAACGGTTCCTTTCCACTGGGTGATGGGCTCGTCCCCTTCCTTCCATCCGTGTGAAATTCTGCAGCCCACGATGTTCCTGCGGGGCTGGGATGAAGGTCTGCCCCTCTGTTTCTTTTGGAAGGTTCTTTTCTTCGTCATGTTTGCAGACCCAGCGGCCCGTCCCGCTGGTGCCCTGGTTTGTAGCCCTTCAGCTTCCTGTGCATTGGGGGTCTTCATGCCTGCAGCCAGCGGGAGCAGAGAAGATAAGAGAGAAGGTAAGAAGACATTCAACATGCCATAAGGCGAAGCTCTCCCCACAGCGACATCTCTACGGACCCAGCGCTGGCAACAAAATTTTCCCTATGAGCCTGTAACCACTGCTGGAAATCCTGGCTGCATGCCTGCAAGTGCTCTCCCTCCTAGGTTCCTTTAGGCTGCAGAAAGGGCAGCAGTGGCAGTGGTGCTGGCTGGAGTTAGGAACTCAGCAGGAGGGGACAGGCTACCTCCCCGTTCAGAGTCCCTCGCCTCCACCGCCCACTACTGGTGCCCACTCTAAATCCCCTGCAAAGCGCCTATCCCTCCCCTGCTTTGACCCGCGGGCACTCACTGTCCTCCAGCCGTGGGCACCCCAGCCTCACTCGGAGTCAGCCTCCATCCCCTATCTCCTGCAGGAGTCCACCCCGTCTCTCTCCTCCAACCAGCTACCTACCAATGGCCTTGCCTGCCTGCCTGCCGTCCACCTCCCGAGATCGCGGGCTTCACGTGCCCAAATCGGACTCCTCGCTCCTGCCTTCGCTGTGAGTCTGTGTGGAAGGAGAATTAGGGGGCGGCGAGCGGCGAGCTTGCAAGAGCTGGTTAGAGAAGCTCCGTAGATGAGGAGCGTGTCTGGGAGGGCGTGCCGGCAGGCGAAGAGGGTGGCGGCTGTGTCTCCAGCACTGTGCTCACGGACCCTCTGCCTCCCAGTCGGCGGCAGAGGCCCCTCTGCCACATTGGGATCCCACCAGCCGCTACTGCTGCAGTGGTCTCCTCCCCCACTCCGTAGCTCAGCTTCCTGCCAGGAGAGAGGCCTCCTCTTCCTGCCAAACACAGGGTGCCCCCGCCCCCAAGTCTCAAACCCACCCCTGCATTTGGCAGGGGAGGTACTCCTGATCTCCTGTCCCCGCCCCTTTCCGAAATCAGTAGTTGCTGGGCCGAGGACTCTTCCCGTGTTCTGTTCACTTCAGGGCTCTTTAGCGCCTGTGCTCACCTCTACACCCAACCTCTCAGTCCCCCTGCCTAATCTGCTTTTCATCTTCCAGGAATTTGTCTTGTCTTTTTTTTTTTTTTATTGCCCTTATGTAGTTATTCTTTATACATAAATCTGCCTTTCCTGTCATTTGTAAGGATTTGGATAGGAAGAGAGAAATGTGCTAATTCTCAGTCTGCCATCTTGACCCAATCTCTACCTAATGTTTCCTGAGTGGTCATTCTTGGATTTACTTCTTAAGAATTACCCCTGCCTTTCTTTTCCTTTTTTCTTTTTCTACTTTATTGCAAATGAAGTACACAATGTTAACACTGCGTAAATTTCAAAAACTGATATGAAGAAAATAACCAACTGAAATTCCAATTCCCATTCCCTGGAGCTCACAGCAAAACATTAATACTCATTATGTCTTTTGCCCTTTTTTCCTAGGCTGTCACAAAACTGGTATATTTTGCATACATAAGTTCCTGCTCTGTTTTTTTCCATATAGAATAAGCATTTTCTCAGGACATTTAAAAAAACAAAAACAAAAAAAAACATTATTTCCCTTCTCAGTCCACAAATACTTCTTGAGCACTTATTACATATCTGACCATTTGTCTATAAAATTCAATTTTACAATGACCACAATTTAACTTTTCCCTCATTACTGAACATTTGGAAAATGTATCCGCAATAAATGGTAATGTGATCTATTTATCAAAAAGTAGAGCTTAGGAAAAAAATAACTTTCTAAGAAACAGGTAAAATGACAGTTTTATAATTCAGTAGAAAAAGATTGGTTATTCTTTAAGCAATGCTACAGTGATTTTTTAAATATTTGGGGAAACAGAAATAACACCACATATATTTAGGCAAATAATTTTTAAAATATGTTTTTATTGATTTCAGAGGGAGGAAGGGAGAGGGAGAGAGATAGAAACATCAATGGTGAGAGAGAATCATCGATAGGCTGCCTCCTGCATGCCCGCTACTGGGGATTGAGCCCGAAACCTGGGCAGTGCCCTGACTGGGAGTCAAACCGTGATCTCCTGGTTCATAGTTCGATGCTCAACCACTGAGCAACACTGGCCGGGCTGGGCAAATAATTTTTGACAAAGGAGACAAAAACACACAATGGAGAAAAGAAATCTTCTTCAATAAACGGTGCTGGGAAAATTGGAAAGCCACATGCAAAAGAATGAAACTAGATTACAAGTTTGTCCCATGTACAAAAATTAATTCAAAATGAATCAGAGACCTAAATATAAGATCAGAAACAATAAATTACATATAAGAAAACATAAGTACTTAACTTATGGACCTTGGTCATAGAGAACATTTTATGAACTTGACCCCAAAGCAAGGGAAGTAAAAGCAAAAATAAATGAATGGGACTATATTGAACTAAAAAACTGCAAAAGAAATCCTCAACTAAACAAAAAGGCCACCAACCAAATGGGAGGAGATATTTGCAAACAACAGCTCCAACAAGGGGTTAATATCTAAAATATGTAAAAAATACTCATAAAACTCAATACCAATCAAACAAAAATCCAGTTAAAAAGTGGGCAGAGGACTTGAACAGACACCTCTCCCAAGAGGACATACAAAAGGCAACAGATATGGGAAAAGATGCTCAACTTCACCATCTATTAGGGAAATGCAAATCAAAACTCCAATGAGATACCACCTCATACCTGTTAGAGTGGCTATTATCAACAAGATGAGTAATACCAAGTATTGGAGAGGTTGTGGCGAATAGGGAACCCTCATTCACTGCTGGTGGGATTGGAAACTGGTACAACCACTATGGAAAACAGTATGGTGGTTTCTCAAAAATTTAAGAATAAAACTACCATACAACCAAGCAATCCCTCTTCTGGGCATCTACCCGAAAAATTCGAAAAACATATTTCGCAAAGATATATGCACCCTTACATTCATTGGAGTATTATTCGTGGTGGCTAAGACATAGAGATAACCAAAGTCATCTTTGATAGAGGACTGGACAAAGAAGATATGACACATCTATGGAATATAACTCAGCCATAAGAAAGGAGGAAATACTGCCATTTGTGACAACATGGATGGACTTTGAGAATATTATGCTAAGTGAAATAAGTCAGTCAGGAAAAGCTAAGGACCATATGATTTCACTCATATGTGGGATATAAAACTGAAACTCACAGACAAAAACAACAGTATAGTGGTTACCAGTGGGAAGGAGGTAGAGGGGAGGTAGAGGGTAAAAGAGGGCCAAATATATGGTGACAGAAAATGATTTGACTTTGGGTGGTGGGCACAGAATGCAATATACAGATCTTGTATCATAGAAATGTACACTTGAAACCTATATGACCCTATTGACCATTGTCACCTCAATAAATTTAATAATTTTTTTTAAAAAGAAAAACACTCAGGAAAAATTGTTTACACTAAATTTATCCCTAAATCAATATTTGATTTACTAAAATGTAAAATTCAGCAAAATAAAACATTAGAAAAAGCAAATGAACAAAACAAAATTTCAGTAAACCATATGAATATTTAATAGTTACTTATGGTATCTGAATCAGGTGACTGATCAGATGTTAACAGAACAGCTAAGCTTAAAACAAAATAATTCCTAAAAGGAAAAATTAAAAAAATTTTGATTCAACAAAGTATGAAAGAACATTAAAATATTAATGACATTGAGCATGAGGAAAGAATTTCACATCTAGTACTGCGGCAAATGAGAAGTTGATACAGTTTTTTTTGTGGAAAGCAATTTTCATATATACTGTAATTCATGTGAGGGTTTATTTAGTTCTGGTTAACCCTTATTCCTGGGATAGCACCTTTGGAGTCCCAACCAAAAGTGAAAGGTGTTTATCAGGGCTCTTGGCCCCAATTTCTGTATCCTTAGCTTCAAGGGGAATTTATAAGCTCTTCTGAGCTTCTAAGCCTTTCAGCAGTTCCCTCCTGAATAGGTAAACTTCCCCAGGGGGAAAAACATCCAACACGTTTACTGTTTATCTCTTTGACCTGTTCTCCCTCATATGCTGGTTGGGTAATTATTTCCTATCTTCTTGGTTTTCAGATGTCTTTGAGCAGATTTATTATTATTTTCAATGTTTTTATTCATTTCAGAGAGAGGAAGGGAGAGGGAGAGAGGGATAGAAACATCAATGATGAGAGTCATAAATTGGCTGCCTCCTGCACGTCTCCGACTGAGGATTGAGGCACAACCCCGGGGGATGTGCC